CTTTCCTCCACTGAGTATACTATTACTTTTCTATTTCCCAAAATAGGAGATTCTTCTTTTTGCCAAGTGAATTAGAGAGTTATTTTTAACTATAATACTCAATGCTCACAAAGATATATTAGAAAACACACATTTATGTAACACTAGTGAGTGTAAACTGGTACATATCAACAAAAAGTTTCCTGAAAAGTTGTTATCAAGGGCCTTAAAATTTTCCAAACCCTATAACCCAGTATTTACACTCCTAGGAATCAATTATAAAAAAGTAACTTAACATACAACCAAACATTTATGAACAGATGTTAGTGTTTTAAAAAAACGGAAAGGAAAATTTTTAAAAATAACAATGTCTAATAAAAAAAACCCAAACTTAACTAGTAAATGATCATATTATCAAAGAGTCTCAAATCAGCACACTTTAAAATGAGTTTCTAGAAGTAATTCACCCTCAAAAGACAGTTATGGTTCTGAATGCTCTACACTGGCTCCCGTTTAAAATGACAGCAGACCACTACAGGTTTTGATGACAAAGGGAAATACTTATGATATAATGCTAAGCCAAAAAAAGAGAAAATACAAATAATATAAAATACATTCTAACCCAAGCATACCATCCTGAGTGTCAAAAATGGCACAGAAAACCAAAAACTGACAGAGAATGTGCCAGAGTGAAGTACACAGAACTTTGGGTATATTTCCTTCTACTTATCTATATTCCTATAAATTTCCAAATTTTTTCAGTGACTGTGTATTACTTAATAAACAAGGAGAAAAAGTAAAAGCCTGAGAGCAAAAATAAATCCAATGGGTTTATCATTCACCAAAAACAATAAATCTGCTGAATTATTAGAATGGAATCTGATAGCCCTGGGTTCAGAAATGAGTGGAAAACACATAAAGACCAGATGCACAGGCCCGTGTGAAGAACAATTCCAAAAGGAGTCAATCGGCAAGATGTGCCAAATATTTAAAGGTACACACCCAACACACCCTGCATCTGAGTGAGATCTGAACGTTCTTTTCTGAAATTTACAGATCTGGCTTCTAACTGTTCTGTAGTGATATACTATACTTCTCTGACAGCTCAACTATGCAAACCTTGCCCTATAAAACTCACATTTTAAAAATAAATTAGAGAATCTAAAATTTTAAATTCTGCCGTATTAATTTTAAGCACTTAAATTCATACATTTAAGAAATACGGGGGCGCCTGGGTGGTTCAGTGGGTTAAAGCCTCTGCCTTCAGTTCAGGTCGTGATCCCAGAGTCCTGGGATCGAGCCCCGCATCAGGCTCTCTGCTTGGCGGGGAGCCTGCTTCCCTCTCTCTCTCTGCCTGCTTGTGATCTCTGTCAGTCAAATAAATAAATAAATAAATCTTTTTAAAAAAAGAAATACAATAAGAACTCTATGAACGAATCGGCACAATTTAAAATAAATTTCCGGGGCGCCTGGGTGGCTCAGTGGGTTAAGCCGCTGCCTTCGGCTCAGGTCATGATCTCAGGGTCCTGGGATCAAGCCCCACATCGGGCTCTCTGCTCAGCAAGGAGCCTGCTTCCTCCTCTCTCTCTGCCTGCCTCTCTGCCTGCTTGTGATCTCTGTCTGTCAAATAAATAAATAAAATCTTTAAAAAAAATAAAAAAATAAAAAAAAAATAAATTTCCAATGCATTCCTCCTAAAAAAGTGGTATTTCTTTATGTTCTAGAACTATTTCAAGTTTTAAAGTGACTAGCTTATCATTGATGTTCAAAGACAATTTTATTTGTTAAAGAAGCCCATGTCAACAAAATAAAGAATGGCATCAACTGCTATATCCCACAGCTTTTCAGAAAGTACATTCCATTGGATGCTAATGAGCACAAATAACAAATAAAAGGGTGGGGAGTTCCTTTTATCAAGTAAACTGAAAAAAATACAAGAGATTTTATGTTAATATACACAGTAATCTCTGAGGCAGTGCATCTTACAAATGCAATCTCAGAAATAAGTCATTCTACATCCTTTAAACAAATGAAATCTGGTTACCTCTTAGTTCAAAAGTGTAAAAAATGCTACTAGGTTCCCAGGATAATGGTATGCTTAGGTAGAATGTCACTCATCTCTAACAGGAATGAACGGGAGTGAAAGGGTGTGTGCAGAAGAGACATCCAGGAGGCAGCCAGAATCTGGAGCTCAGGAGAAAGGAGTGGGACACAAATGTAGATTCTGATAACAAGGGCATGCGGATGTCAGGTGAGGCCAGTATTGTGAATGCTATTAACCAAAGAGTATTTTCTGTTTTTGCTCTAGGTGCCTTAAATTCAATACATAAGTCTTAAAAACTTATCATAAATATCCACTAAATCATTTCTTATGTATCTGCCCCCTCCTCCAAATAAACTGTGCTCCTAGATTCCTAAGCAGGAGGACCCTTGTGAACAGAACACACATATCATGTATTATATATATATTACATACATATACATACATTATAGTACCTGGTACAAATTAACCAAATAAATGTTTGGTCACAAATAATTTTTCATCCAAAAATTTAAAAATAATCCAATTTAACTTTATTTATATTCTTATTTTTAAATATGCAAAAACCACCACAAATTAAACAAGTACAAGAATACCTATATACACAAGTATTAGAGATGCATCAAAGTTGGACTGTGGCTTGGTGTTCAGTAAAAATCTTATTATTAAAGCTTTTGCTTTTGAAAGACCAATCATTAGTCAATACCTACTTCAACATGCTCTCTGGCACCTCTGTACCTGCACTTAATCGAAGAAATGATATGAGAGAGGAGGGTATCATCACGTCTAACCAACATAAAGTCAGTACCACAAAAGCCCAGGGAAAACAGAATATTATTCACTTTCAAGTATGCATAAGCATTCTAGAAATAACTCTCACTGAAAAACTCCTTATGAGCGTTTATGTGTTAAAGTTCTATCAGCTGAAGTATAATAAAATGTGTGCACAGTAGTACAAGAGCAAACTGCTGCATTAATTAATGATGATTAGGACAGCTGCTAATTTTATGTTCAAAAACAATTATTAATTTGCAAACTGTTAAAAGGGAAATACACCAAGAGCTAATACATATATTAGAGAAAGCTAGATATTCCTTCTTGAGTTTTTTTTCCTTTATAAGCCAATAAATGTTGACAGTTTTTAAAGAATACAAGGCCAAATTAGAGAGACTGGGTTATATCATAAATCCAATCTTTGTAGAATTTTTTTTTTGGTCTCCTGGAACTCATAAAATTAACTAGGTAACCTTTATAAATGGTATTCACTCTTTAGATATTTCATTTCATCCATAAGCCTTTCCTGAAAAAGAGCTATTTAGGAATGCTTCATATCATTAAAAATTAAAGTAGAAATAAAACAGCAACTGTGCCACCTCCAAATTTCACTAGAGAAAATCTCCAAGATCATTAATATCCATGGATCAATCTATGAGATAACCCCAAAAACACTTTGTTCCTCTACTGACCTCAGCTGAAAGTGAGCATCTACTTGGTATAGCCAATGTGCAGTATAGTGCCCAACGAGCAATCCGGGAGCTGACAGTGCTGAGATATTGTTCCTGCACCAAAAGGTCAAACTTAAAAATCTGACAACAAAATTTTCATAAAATTCTAAAATATTTCTCTGTAAATATTCCTATTTATTTCACTACGATGGTGCGATTCAGCCTCAGCATCGTGTTCACTTTCTCAGCTACTCGGCCAGAATGCATACCTGGCACAGCTCTAGTTTGCGCAGGCAGACACACATGTGCCCATTTGAGAGACAGAGCACAGAGGATGACTCAATCACCTTTTACTTAAAAAAGAAATTACCATCAAATTCTTTGAAACCCTCATGGATGTAAAATATTATTTGATCTATAATTTAACTTAAAAATATACTCAAACATATACCTTCATTCAAAATAGTAGAGAATGTTTTTAATTCCCACTCTTAAGTCAAAAAGGTAAATTTTTCCTTTAGAAAACAAAGCACCAAAAAGAAAAACTAGTCACAAAAACTTTAACAGCTACACCAATAATATAATTAAATATCTATATGAGGTTTATGTAGTTACTTCTTTTCCAGTTAAAGACCACATTTTCGAACAGTTTATAAATATAATCCAATTAAGACTATCCTGACAAAGTCTGCAGATATAAACTATTTAGTTAAACAAAACACCTCACAATCAGCCTGATTTAAGGAACATACAAGTTTGAAAGTTAACACATTATCCATTAGCTACCCTGTATTTTCAAGAGTCCGAACATAGTCACAGATGAGCTAGCTTCCAATTTCCCATTTTCCATCACTAAGATCACCTCAACTAAAAATAAAGCAATCCCAAAACTTCTTTCCAAAATGCCTTTATAATGCTTCTCCTGCATAAATACAAATAACAAAAAGATGAAAGGAAAGGAGAAAGGGAAGAAAGAAAAGAGAGAGGGATGGAGGAAAGGATGAAGGAGGGAACAAGGGAAGAAAAAACAAAATCCCAGGCCATATTATTCCAAGGAATCATACACATGGGTGTAATACCCTTAATGTAATTGTCAGTCTTATATTAGATACACTACTAACACCTACTCCACATGCCTTTAAAAGATTTGCTCTATTTTAATGGGGATCTGAAGGACACACACATTCAACCATAAAGGTGAATATTAGTGAATTTTTATTTTTTATTTTAAACAGAAACGCTTCAATTCTCACAAAAGTATTAGCCAACCAACCACTTTCAAAAAGGTCAAGACCCGCAATCCTAACAATCACTGTGCTGTACTTGTATTAATACCACACTGTAAGTCACTAATTATCAAACGGATTCCCAAAGTCATTTATTAAATATCCCAACTAACTTTGTATATATTGATCTAAATAGAATTCCCCCCACTAATGCTGTTTACCAGAAAGCTCCCGCATTCAAAATATAGCACCAGTTCCCACATTCGCTCAGATAGCCACAGCTTTACTGTATTTCAAAACTTGAGTCACCTGTATGCATCGTCTTCTTTCAAGTCTCATATCATCCTGATGGGGTGGGGGGAGGGAGGGAAGAGTCCAGCAGCAAAACTATAACACTGTGTGAAGAAAAACAGATTATGATAAGAGATAAGGATGCAAGACAATTACCCCTATTGAGGAACATCTAATGCAACTACAATCCCCAAAACAGAGATAAAATTATCTGCAAATTTGTTTACTAACATTTATTTATGCTTACTTGAAAATAATTTCCATTAATGACAATCAATTATATATATAAAATGTAAAGTATTCAACTGTCAGGAAGAAAAGGTTTCAAAAACTGCCTACTACCAACAAAACTACAGGCATTTCTAGGTAAGAACTAAGGGGTCAATATTCCACTATTCTATATAAGTATCTGGGAAAAATTTACATTTTCTAATATCCACCAATTCACAAATCAGTATGAATATGAAGTCACTTTTCATCATGGCTTACTATCAGGTAAGCAGAGGCAATGCAAGCTGCTTTACAAGAAGGATAACATATCAATCTGCCAAATGTTATTTGTAAATTAAGTTCTGAGACACTGCTCGTAACTGCTCCCCCAAGCCCACAAGCCCTCTTTTGCTCTGCCAAGTGGCTTCTACTTTACTGTAAGCCTTTCACTGTACTTCCTACTTACTGCTTCCACTGGTATTTCACAAATGACCAGCAAAATTTATAATGACTGATGGGAAAACAAAAACAACCTGAATGTTGTTATCAACTGAGAGTAAGTGATAAGAGACTAGGACAAGCACAGGCTACAACCCAACTTATTTATATTCAGCCTAAAAATGTACTTTTTATATTGATACTATGGGATTCAATAAATATTATTAATGAAACAATGTTGCTTATGTTGGTCAAGTTCCCAAGCCAGCCAAAAGAAACTTACTGATACCAAAAGACATTACTGATCATGGGCACTGGGGACCACTGAAAATACAGAAAGTAACCAATTCTAGATCCTCTCTCTCTGAACAAAGTCTAAAATAGGTTGTTTTCCTTTGTTAGTACTCAACTCCTGATGTCTCTAATTCCCTAAATTTTACCTTAGGGAATCCCAATCATCCAGCTTTGTAATCCTTTCTCCTAAGTAGACCTGTATTCCTAAATTACCATAAAAAACTCTTATTACCTCACTTCAGGTATGTGATAGAAAGAAATCAAGTGGACTGAAATAATTTACTTTCATGTCTACAATTCTCAATAAGGATGCTACTAGTTAGTCCAAATGAACTCCTAACTGGTAGAATTCTAATCACATTGTAAAGTTTACAATGACCAAGGTAGCTTGAAGAAAAACATTTTTAGGAAATGGTCATAATACAGATTCAAATGTGTATTTATTGCCCCAAAATATTTCTGCTCTTCATTCATTTCTCCATTTGTGCACTCCCAGCTTCTTTAAAAGCTGGACGTTTGTACTCCAAAGAGCAGTAACTGGAAGTGCAGCTCAGGGACAAGGATGTAAATGTATGAATTATCTGTAACTTAGGAACTGCCTGTGTCTAAAATCATTACCTATATTCCAGATCCCATTCCTAAAGAAGCATGTTTCCAGTTTAGATGCTATGGTAAAACCTTAGACGTGGGACCAACTGATACCCATTCTGGGGGTTGTGTGGACAGATGGGTGGATGAATGAACACTAAAGTACTACATCAAAACAGTTTTATTCCAAAGAGTAACAGTATTTGAACTCTCGGGAGTAATGATTTTTACTTCAAAGACACAGTTTTCTATCCATTTTTCTCCCATAAATCATCTTTACCATTCTAGCATGGACCATGGGGACAGAAAATGTGAATTAAATCTCTAGCTATGAATTATATATTATCAAATCTTTTAGGTTCTCAACATCCCATTCTTCACCTATAAAATGTTACTTACAATGCTATCTATCTACACTTTGCCAACTTGAATGGTTTCAACAGCATAGATACTGCTGATACCAAAGGACTTCATAAGAAAAAAGCAGAATCAGATAAACCATTAGATTTTTTATCCTATTAAAAGCAGTTAGAAATTAGCAGATTATCCTTACTGTACAAAATATCTAAAGGTAAGAATATAAGTGGGCCGGTGGCACAAAGGAGAGTACATGTGACTGAGGGTCAGAAGAAGCATGCATCAAGACTGTCTGAACCTAAAAAGGACATCTTTTAGAAAAGTCATCCATTCCTCACTACTCATCTGAAAAGTAGCCTTTAGCAAAGGGTAAAGCAAAGCTACAAGTTACAAAACTTGCTGTTGACATATGCAGCAACTAAACCATCATCTACTGAGCAACGCTAAAACTCCTTAAGTCTTGACCTTGGGCTGCTTTAAATTAAGATTCTAGTGATAATTCCATATATCCTTTAGGCTGCTCACTTTTCAAAAAAAAAAAAATGTTTATATCAGGTCAGTGTTTTATGACAATAAGCAGGTAACAGCAAACACCAAATGTACTTTGCAAACTATAAATACAATTTTCTAAAGAAGACTAAAAATCCATCATATTCTAAATTTTTCTGAGAAAAATCTACAGTGAATTTTTAACCTTTCCCCCCACAAATGGAGTCATTCACAATTACAGAGCTAAATTAGATGCTAATGAAAAGCATCTACTATCCTTACCACAGGAACCTCCTATAATCCTCTAAATCATTTGCTGTATGCTTCAGCTCACATTTTGCCAAAGGCAATATAACAGTCTACAAACAATCTAGAAACTGAGCTTAACTGGTTTTTAAAGCTAAACCTACAAAGCATTTTTTAGTTGTCTGAAAATTAGTGCATAACAGTAGTAACAACCTATAGCAGCAGGGAGAAAATTTCAACAGGCTGAGTTTAAACGCCTGGAATTCCCCCATAGGTATCAGATTCAGTCTCCTGGCACCTGTCTCTACAGTTGGGCGGGGTGGGGCGGGGGGTGAAGGAGAGAGGGGGAGAACATGGAGACAACTAATTAAAAGCAGTGATGGACCGAGATTTATATAATTAATGCTAATCCTCAAAGATGAAGATTGGCAAAACAGTGATAGAAATGAATGCATTAGCATGATATGGCAAATCCAGATTAACTCAGGAGTTAATGAACTAAATGGTAGCTGTGACGTTTTCTCTCATGTCACAATGTTTTATAATGACATAAAACTAGAAATTATATGGAGCTTCAAAATAACTAAATTAGTAGGTAAGTATGACAAGCAGCAGGTAAAAATAATCAGTATGATACAGGCTTCAGTAATACTTATAGGTACTGTTCTATTTCTTAAACTGGCGAAGCACACAGCTGTTTTTTACTCTTTTAATTTTACAGGTTTTGTATAGTCTTGCATGTATATTTCAAGATTTAAAAATTTAATCCACATTAAAAAAAATTTAACGCACAATAGTATTTAAAGGGACAATCAGATAGTTTAGAAGATGCCAATTTAAGAATAAGCTACCCACTCCCAAAAAAGAACAAGCTACAAAAATGAAATCAGGGAAAACTAAACTGATAGATCTACAACTTGATTCCATGCATTAAAATTACAACATGATTATCTACAAATTATACTGTGACTGGCTTTCCTTATAAACTTTTATTCATTTACACTAACATTAAGGAAGCAACAGAAGTGTCCTCTTTTTCCACAGAACAATTTTAGAAACAGAGTTTCTATAATTACAACAGCCAAAGAAGTCAAAGCAAAAAAGAAAGAGAAAAAAACTATGGTTTTATACCTAACAAGAAAAAAAAACCTCTATTAACGCTAATTCCCACTAAGATGATCAAATGGCATACAGAGAAAAGGCATTTTCACTAACTAGAGATTTCAAGTGAAATTCTTAAAACCAAGATGATTTAGGACTCCTCCAAAACCCCTAGAAATAGTCCTAGCTGTAAAAAAAAATTAAAAAGGAAAAAAAAATTTAAAAAGCACAAGACTTCAGAATGGGATATGAAAGGAAATTCTGAGTAAAACTGCAGGGAAAAGAACATTTGCTGAACACTTACTATGCACCAACTACTCTACTGAGATACTTGAGAGAAGCCGACACATTTACTCTCCTAACATCCCTGTAAGCAGGCAGTGTGATTTCCATTTCATCGCTGGGGAGAGCAAATTCAGAGAGATGAACCCGCCTGGACTAAGGTCACAGCTTGTGAACTCTGGTCCCACACCAAAGCTCGTATTTTCTACCACACCAAAATGCCTCTTATTAATAAGCGCTGAAACAGTCATGGGAAAATTTCAAAGATCTAAGAATCTACATGTATCTAGGTCTGATTTTAAGACCCCATACTCAATCTTTCACCTCAACCATCCTAAACAAAAAAGAAGGTTCCTAAGCAGTAAATTAATTTGTAAAAAGCACTTCAGTTTAGGAGAATGGTAAAGAAACTCTCAAGTCAGTCTAGCAGAGAAAATTGGATCACAGCAAAACAGACTGATACATATATTCCCTCTACCATAAAAATTAAAGGAGACAAACTAAAAAGAGGGTAGACACCAAAAGCAGGTAAGTCATTACTGCACCAAAGCCTTGGAGAAAATTTAAAAAAAAAAAAAGGATTACAATTATATGACTCCAATGGCATGTTGGAAGTGGAAACAGCTGATATGAGTGTTAAAGAAAATAGAAAGATGTGATTTCTCATGAAATTATGTGGGGGAAAAAAAAAAAACTAACAACCCTGAGTAAGCAGTAAAGAGAAGCTTCAAGAACTAAGAGCTGAGTGGATTAAATAAATGTTGCCCCAAATTTTTGCTCCTTCAAGGACCAAGTTACTTGACCTCTCTGGGACTGCATCTGGGCTCAAATAGGCCCTAAGTATTTGTATACAACAATAAATACAGGAAAACAGGACAGAAATGCCCTCTATGCGTATTACGTGTAACATAAGGCATTGCCAAATATCCTTTTTAAAACTAGAGGGGAGAGACTATAAAGTTAGGGGTAAGCTATGATCAGTAAATGTAAATTACTGTTACCCCGTCACTAATTCAAAATATGTCAACTACCAACATATTTATATGTATTCTTTTGTATTCTGAGCTCCTCGAACATAAATTCTCAGACTACAGAACAT